ACCATTCTGGTGCATCATGTTGACAATGGGGCAGACTATGTGTATGTGGAGGCAGGGGACATATGGGGAATCTCTATCTTCCTCTCAATTTTGTTGTAAACCTAATATGGCTCTTTAAAAAAGTCCTCAAAAAGTGAAAAGAAACTTAAAATAATATTTTAAACCCAAAGTAGAAGTTTATTTTTGTTTTCATGTAAAACAACTTCAAAGGTAGAAAGTCTGGATTTGGAAAGATAGTTTCATAGTAGCAAATGACCCAGACTCCTCTTATCTGCTTTGCCAGCTTAGTCCATGGTTTACATCCTCAAGACTACCTCATGGTATAAAATGGGCTGCTAGTGTTCCATTCATCACATCCAAATTCCAGGGAGTAGAAAGAAAGGAGGTAGGAAAAAAACAGAAGTGCCCATGACCAAGCTAAGGCAGCGTCCTTTAAGCAGAAGTGCCAGAAGTGCCTTGTAACACTTATACTTTCAAAGCCTTGGCTAGAACTTCATCATGTGACTATACTTAACTGCGCAGAAGGCTGGGAAATAGATTCTCTTTTTCTGGGCACATTGCTGTCCAGAATAAAATCGTGATTCTCTTACTAAACAGAAGAGAAGAGATATCAGGTGGCAATCCACAGTCTATACCACATCTATTTTGTGGTGCTTCTATGGGGAATTTCATGCAGCCATTAAAATAATGAATAAGAGCTATGCTAAGTGATTTGAGGTGCTGGGCTGGGAAGGATTTCCCCAAGGATTGTTGGATGAAAAAAAGCAAAATGCATAAAAGTGATAAAATATGGTTCAATTTTTTTAATAACATACAATTACAAAAATCTCTACATATATATGCATATACACATGCAAATGATAAATAGCTGACTCAAACACATGTTTGAACTAGGTAGCTAGACTCATGTATGGATTTTTTTCAGTAAATACATAGTCAGCCCTCTCTGTCACCAGGTTTCAAATTCCCGAACTCAACCAACTGTGGATCAAAACCAGTGTTTTCCATCTGCATTTGGGAATCCGTGGAAGTGGAGGGCTGACTCTTGTATGTCATTTTATATAAAGGACTTGAGCATTTGTGGATTTTGGTATCTAAGGATGGGGAGTCCCCTGCAGATATCAATGGACGACCATAGTTAAGGTTTGAGGAGTGAAAAATTATACACAGATATTCATTCGACTGTGTCGACTGTGTGGGAGTCGACACCCTTAACACCCAGTTATTCAAGGGTCAGCTGTGTAAGTAAATGAATAAGGAAAAATTTAAGGATACACAGTCAGTTGTCAACTGTGTTATCTGCGCAAGGGGAAAGGGGATGAGTATCTTTGTGTCATTCCATTGTTTCGCTTGTTATAATAGGCATGTGTTATTTTTGTAATTTGAAAACATAAAGGTTTTTTTTTTTCCATGTAGCAGTTTCCATATCCAACCTTCAAAATGCCTTACATTATATATGAAAATTAACAGTAAGTGAGTCCATAATGGAGTTTCTCCTAGGGGATGTTAGTGAAGAACTTAATAGGCCCTCAGTACAAGCCAGTTTACCTAAGTTGTTTTAAATGATTTATTTATGGAAATTATTTATTTAGAGAGTATGTTAGCTAGATAACATTACGAAGAATATTGTATTTTTTTGAGCTAATGGATGTTAACAAATGTTTGTATTTAAATATAATGTAAGGCAGAATACTAACAATATATATCTTTGCTGAGTTATATGGTATTTGGCATTTATGAAATTAGGTAACCTTTATGAATTAAATTTAATGTTTATTTAATGACATGTAGGCCCTGAATCTTTTATGAAAATGTCTTGTTTGGGAGGTAGTCACACCCTACAAGAAAAAATCATTCTCATTTCAACTTGGCTTCATCAAAGTTTCATAAAGAAAAGACCTTCTAAATCATGTACAACATTATATTATAAATTATATTTGATCCAGGCATAATAAAGAATATGAAGAGTATGAAAAAAATGAAGAAAAATAAATTAATCCCCTGCTTACCTAGCTGAATGTCTGTTTGGCATGGAAAATGTCCATTCTAGTGACCTAAAATGACCCGAGAAAAAAGCTAGCAACTATCAATGCTGAGAAAATTATTGATCCTGCACTATTGTAACGGGGCACAGCCAGGGCCCCCCGCAAAGGGTATTTGTAATGGGGTCCAGAGATTAGGGTGTCCAAGAAAAATATATTCTCCCCACCCCAGGGCAGGCCACCATGGGGGATGGGAGCCTTGAGCAGGGCCATTGAGAGTCATTTTGTATGTCAATAACAGGATAGCTTCATTCCTCATATGCAAAGAGGGTTATTTTGCATATCACCAAAGCTAATCAGAAAGGTTTCAAAGACTTAAGACAGAATGTAACTGGGAAAGAAAGAGGAGAGACAGCGGCCTGCAGGAGAGACAAAGGGACACAGTGTGAAGGCCACGCGGGAGGAAAGGGGAGAAAGGACTCTTGCTAGTGGGTCAGGAGAAGGTGCCACATGGTTGTGGATTAAGAGCTGGAGACCGCGGCGACGCAGCGGATGGTGCTAAGACTGGCCAGAGGTCTGCCTACCCAAGTACCGGACTTCTGTTCTTTTTCTTCTGAAGGACAGTACCCCTGACTGGCCTGACTGGCCTAACTGGGCAAAGGGAGGAAGGCAGGACGGTATGTGTGCTGGTGATTGTTTTGAAAGGATTTTGAGGTAAGGGTGACAGCCATTAATCAAACCTGTAAAACTTTTGAATAAATAGTTCCTTCCCTTTTCACCAAACTCTGCCATTAAGAGCCATAATTCCAAGGGTGGCGGGCAAAGGACCCACAACCGAGGGGTCCTGGGGAAGGAGGGTGTCATTTCGGTAATAACATCTGGGCACCCCCTCCCCACAGGTCCTTTTGTTCGGTAACACTATAAGGTCAAAAAATTTTTCAATGACTTAAAATTTTTAGTAATATAATTTGAAAGTAAAATCTCAGATTTAAACATATCTAAATATATCATCCAATAATGGCAATATTCTGCTGTGGTTGTGGCCTTACTAGGTCATTTGGTATCAGGTCAAAAATCATTCAGTGGACCACTTAATAAAAAAGTTGCATTGGATAAACAGTAATGCTTTACAGCAAATGGTACTTTAGAAACACTAATATATATAATAACGACTTGGGGAAATTGTAATAAATGTCACTTCCTCTCTGATTCGTATCTCTCTCCCTCAGAACTCACTTGAATCAGAAATGGGCATTATAAACAAGCACACCAAGACCTTTCTCTGCCTGTCCCAGGATCATGTTTTGAGAAACACTACTATAACAGAAAACTCTGTTTTCAACTTGATCTTCACCATTACACACTGTCTCCTTGTTTGCATAATGAGGGTCAACCCTGCAAATGGCACTGTCAAAAACAAAGAGCTTGAAAGTGATTCTGTTGTAAGTTAGTAAATTTTAAAAAACTAGAATATGGCTCAGATTCTTAGTTCTGGACCACATTTTTCTTAGTAGTGAAATGTGGCCAACTTGATGGAGCTAGTAGATAAATCTGTGAACCTATTTTTATAAATGTTCTGTTTTGCAAGCCTCGAGTGGCAAATTTCTCTTTCTGTGGTGGGTGCATAGTCAGAGTGGGGGGTTGGCAAGCAGGGGCCAAGAGAGGATTCAAATTGTAAAATAGTGAGTAATTATACTCAAGAACCATAAGCCCAATCCTACAATAAGTCTGCATGGCTTCCAATTCCTAAATTTATTTTCTGTTAAATGAAAGCAGTCATCTAAGTGAGTTGTGTTGGAAATCAGGACATTATAGAACATCTTAGTTCCAATTTCATAAATCTATATCTTCAAATAAAACCTCCAAGTGCAAATAATACATCTCAATCACTTTGTAAATCATTTTTCTGTGTTGGTGCCTTCTCTCAGTCTTTAGCCAACACTAGATCTGGGACAGATTCCAGGCCAGGACAAAACTGCGACATTCCATACTCCCCATTCTTTGGTTATTTTGCCTTGAATTGAAGTGGATACTTGGCAGTTAGCCACCGGGGAACTCAAGATTTTCTGATTCCCTTCTTCATTAATCAAGATGACCAAGTAATTTCTAAATCTTCAGTCAGCTCTGTACTTTCCTGTTACTAACCCAGTATGTAGTCTTCCTGCCTCAGAAACTATAGACGTAAAAAGGGTTCTTAAAAACAATCCAGTCCGGCCAAACTATTTGACAGTTTGGAAGCTGAACCCAGCTTTCTTGGGGAATTGTTCAAAGTTAAAATGGTTTGGGTTAAGGGCAGAACTAAGACTCTAGTTTAAGGATTCTGATTCAGAAAGCAAAGCTCTTGAGAGGTCTTCCCCAAATACCCCAAGTGAGCCATTTCGTACGGTCTTAAGGGGAGGAAGAGATGCAAAGCAGTGGGACTTTGCCCTGGCATTTTGCTCCTGATTGAGGGTAGTTCCTATGGGGGGCAAAGGAGGCATTTAGCAAAGAACGACTTAACTTTAGGCAGGAGACTTGGGTTCCAGAACCACGTGCTCTTTGTAAATGGTACTTAATATTTAATCTACAGGAAGGTAACCAGTACAAACCTGTGCAGTCATAGTTGTCCAATATACTTGGATCCCTTTCCTTCCCTCACTTGGGAATTAAAATCATTAGAGGGACTAACATAGGCCAAATTACATAGAATAGTGCCTGCAACAAGTTAAGGCTTACTGTTACCACTGACTGTTATTACATGGCCAATGTTTGAAAGGGTGACTGCTTGCTCGCTAATGCGCTAAAGGCGCCCTAATTGTCCTTTAATCCAGCCCATAACTGCGCATGTACATCCCCAAGAGAGCTCGTGCACACAGCGATTTTCCTACCTAGGTGCAAGCTCCGCCCTCCAGGGCACGCCCCTTAAAGCGCGAGCACCGTGGTGAAGCGCGCTCTCGCTTGGGTGTGAGGTAAACAGAGGGCTGGCCCGGGAGACGCGGCTTTTGCTTCCGGGACTCTGGGAGCTTCGTTTCCGGGAGAAGCGGGCGTCGCTGGTAGCTGGCGGTGAAGGAGGTGTTCGCAGCCCTTCGTGGTCCCGGGCTTCGGTCCAGGGAAGCCAGGCATGAAGATCACGAGGCAGAAACATGCGAAGAAGCACCTCGGCTTCTTTCGCAACAATTTTGGAGTCCGGGAGCCGTACCAGATCCTGCTAGACGGTACCTTCTGTCAGGCGGCGCTACGGGGCCGCATCCAGCTGCGGGAGCAGCTGCCCCGCTACCTCATGGGGGAGATACAGCTGTGCACCACCAGGTGGGCCCGGCCGGCGAGGGTGGTGGCGCGGGGGACCAGCGAGGGTGGTAGACACGAGGCCGCCGCTCACCGGCCTCCCTGCCGAGCCCACGAGGTGCAAGGCGCCCCGCCCAAGAGGAGTTGACAGTTAAGCGGTGGTTCTAAGGAGGTCAGGGGAGCAATAGCCACGATGGAGGCAGAACGTACAATACAGTGCCCTGAAACAGTCACGTGTCGTTAGCCTGGCGATTAAGACCACGTGCTTTGTAGTGCGACTTGACTTTGAGGCTTGGACCCAGTCCTACTAGCTCTGGTATGTCGGGCAAGTTTTTTAACCTCCCTAAGCTTTGGATTTCTCATGTATAATAAAGGCGACCCTAACTACTTATAAGGTCGCTGAAGTATCGAGTGAGGAAGTATATTGAATGTGGAGTATTGGTTGCTGACCGAAAGCGCCCCCTTTTAAATGGTGGTGGTGATTTGCCTGGCTTTTTCTAATTTTACATTTAAAAAGTTCAAGCTTCACAACTGCCCTGTGAGGTAGCATCTTCGATTCCCAAAAAGATGAGTGGGGACTTGAGATTAGGACTTTGCTCAAGGCCATTTGTTTGTTCATCTGTCTTGTTTAAGTGACCAGCCACCTGCCAAGCGCTGCTGTAGCCCCTGAGGATACCTTGGAACAGGACGAAGTCCCAGCCCTCGCGGGCAGGACGGTGCGCGTGGCAGCTTCCACGCGGTGTGCTTGGGCGCCAGGTCTGGTGTCCACGTGTCATCCGTGTGGAACACTTAGAATAGGACCGTGTGGGGACAGGGGGGAGAGGTGGGGATCGTGAGGGTTTCATAGAGGAGATAACATTTGAGTCCCCTTACGGGTCAGTTCGGAGGGGAAGGACTGTCCTGAGTGACAGGGAAGAGGCAAGTGACGTTCCTTGCTGGGAGGACCTTCGGAACAAAGGAATGGAGTTGTGAAGCGCAGGGGCAGGAGATGCGGGCCCACAGGACAGGTGGGCGTGATGCGGGGGGAAAGGTAAATCGAGGCTCGGTCACGAAGAACTCTCTTACAAATCAGCAGGTTTCTTTTTCATTGTAGAATGTTACTTTAAAAAATATTTACTTGGAAAAAGAAAGACGACCCATAATACTACACCCGTGAGTAGCCGTCGTCAACACATGCGGCATCGGACATTCATTTCTTTCTGGGCACACACAGAACGCGAGAATGTGCTCCTACTGTGCACACGCTGTGACGTCCGCTCTTACGTAGCGCTGCTCCGCGAACAGCTCTCCGCAGGCACAGCTCCTCAAGCACTGCCTCCGGCGGGTGGTAGAAGCCGCCGAATGTTCGATCCCCATAGTTTTCAGGGCTGCCAGGCAAGTGCTTGGACAGCCTGTGCGCTTGAGTTGGTGGCTTCCGGCTGTCAGCAGCTTGTCCATTTACGCCCCTCCCCCATGCCATAGAAATAGGAACGTGTTTAATATGGTGCTGTAATATAAAAAACGTTGACAAGTTCGGCAGCAAATGGTATACTACAGCATTTTTTTTTTTCCTGAAGAATTTATTTCAACTTCTGGAATATTTCATACATACACAAAAGTGGAATAGTGTAGTGAAACGTCTGTGACCCAGCTCTTACAGTTATCAATGCGGACAATCTTGTTTCATTTATCTTTTTATCCCATGCCCTGCCCTCCGCCCCCCGACTTTTGATGGTTTATTTTAAAGCATATTCTGTCCATTCTTGGCGTGTATCATTAAGACATAAAGAAAGCTTTTTAAAGTCAGAGTTCAAACAAGGTACATAAATTGCATTTGTTTCTATGTCTCTTAAGCTTATTTTAAACCATAACAGTTTTAAATAACATTTTTGGCTAATCCAATATTTGGATTCACATTTCAGTGTTATCACTTATTATCTTGAATTTGGGCATATTACTTGAAATCTCTCTGAAATCAGTATAATTTTAAAGTAAGCTGCCTAACTTTGTAGAACTGTTTCGAGATTAAGCAAGAATTTATTAAAGATCAATTAGCGTGCTGCATGGCACATAATAAGCACTCAGTAAATTTTAATTCTTATTTTTGTTATTCTTTCTACTTGGTGTAAGAATTTTCCATGTCTTTTAAGACTGAATAGCTACTATATGATTTCTGGCTCCCAAATTCAGACTGTATTGGTATAGTTTTAGTTTTTAAAAATAAGTATTATTTTTGTACTTAGCTTTATGTGAACAGTCAATGTGTTTCTGTTATAATCGTTAATTGCTAATAACATTTTCTTTTTCAGGTGTGTGCTAAAAGAGTTAGAAACGTTAGGAAAGGACTTATATGGCGCAAAACTGATTGCACAAAAATGCCAGATACGAAATTGTTCCCATTTCAAGAATGCAGTGAGTGGATCAGAATGTCTGCTCTCCATGGTTGAAGACGGAAATCCTCATCATTATTTTGTGGCATCGCAGGTGATACTACTTTTAAAACCAGAGTCAATTTTAATCATTTCTATTTATACTTCATATGGAGTTATTTATAATCAGAAAAAATTAGTGGAAGTGGTTTGTTAAAGTGTTTCGACTTTATTAAAATAATAGCTTTTAAGTTAATTTGCAATCAATAAAAGCACTTGTCATTAGAGAATTTGAGAACCTTAAGCATATTGATTTTCTTCTTAATTACTGGTTTCCTTTTTTAGAATAAAAAAATTATTGACATAGAGATGTGATATGTGTTTCGGTTCATGAAGGGAAAGTAAGTAGAGCAGAGATTTTGCATTTTGTGTTCATAAACATTTTTTCCTGTTTCTGCATTCACACTATTTTTCAAAAAGTCATGTTTCATATTATTTGAGACTGTACCACCACCATGGAACTGTTTCAGGCTTTTAAAAAGACCTGGAGGCAGAGGAAGAGAGACTCTCAGGGCCAATGTTAATGAGGAAGTTCACTTTCATACAGATTTGTTTAAATGTGCTTTCAGAACTGTGAAATTACATAAAAGCTGAATCTAGAATCTGAATCACCTAATTCCGACTTTATTTCTGTTACCTCAACCTCTGTGAGCATTCTTGACCCTCCCTGGAGCATATTAGAGCAGAGGCCAGGGACACCACCTACCATGTTTACCTTTGCATTAGTTTGTAATTCATAGTCCCAGAACAGCAATTTTCAACTGGTGCAATACCTGACTATTTAGTCAGGGGCACTGCCCCCCGCTTTGATGGGCACTGATCTTTTTCCCTTAGATCATCAAATAAAAAAATGACAATAGCCCACACAACAGTAGCCATCCAGGGTGAATGCCCTGTCTTGAACCATAATATATAGGTTATATAACAGAGTTGCATGTTATTGCTCATATCATATAATAAAATTGTGTCTGATTGGTTAATTCTTGGTACCAGAAATCCGTATGTACAAGCATAAGCACCTGACTTTTTTACAAGTTATTTTGGAGCAAAAAGGGTAGGAATTACTATTAGTAGTAGTGGTAGTAAGTCAATCAAAATTATATCTATTTTTTTGGTCAGATCAGCAGAAAATATATTTTTTGGTGTGCCACAGAATTTTAGTGATTAGTTTATGTGTGTCATGAGATGAAAAAGTTTGAAAATTGTTATCCTAGAATATTGCTAAGTCCAATTCACATTGTTGCCACTTAACTATTTGTGCTCAGTTTTTGTTTCTCTTGCTTTCTTTATTATAAAATATATTGTACTCCCACTAGTGAGACATACTAATTTGAAAAATAAAACCTATGATCTCTTATTTTTAATATAATCCTCTTGACACTCTTAGAAATTTATCTAAGGCATCTCACTTAATTGACATACTTAAACTAAATAATTCTATTTTTCTTTTTAATAGGATCAGAATTTATCTATGAAAGTAAAGAAAAGGCCTGGAGTTCCTTTTATGTTTATTATCCAGAACACTATAGTCTTGGACAAACCTTCTCCCAAAACAATTGCCTTTGTTAAAGCAGTAGAGTCAGGTCAGCTTGTCTCAGTTCATGAGAAGCAAAGTATCAAGCAACTCAAAGAGGAACAGGGTTTAGTGAAAAACCCTGAACAGAGAAGAAGGAAAAAGCACAAGAAAGTAAGTGGCCCCAATCCTCTTAGCTGTTTGAAGAAAAAGAAAAAAACACAGGATTCAAAACCATCTGCCTCTGAAAAGAAAAGAAAAAGAAAAAGAATACGGAACAGATCAACCGCAAAAGTACTTTCTGAAAAGGAGAATGCGGAAGGATGAGGAATCCTTTGGATACTTTGAAAGACATTCAAACGTGAAAAGTAAATTTCTTTTTAAAACTGAAAGAACTTAGAATAAAAAAAAACATTTTTGTAAATGAATATTGATCCATAGCCTTTGCCTAAAATTATTTATAAATAAAAAACAAAACAATGAATGGGTTTAGGAGGTTGTTTGGGGAGATTTTGGAGATTGTTCGTTGATGTAAATCTATTGTCTCTTTCTATCTCATCATCACCCCTCACCCTTCAACATTATATGTAAATAGTTTAAACAATCAAATAGTGTCAAAAGGCTTGTGACAAAAAAAGAAGTAGTTGTCCCTGTTTCACATTCACGAAGGAAACTTTCAACTCATGTATGGGTTATAGAATTTACGTTTATATTTCCAAATGATATGAATATGCTGCTCCTTTTTGATCCATCTATTATTGACTTTCTACCAGAAAGAATGGAAGTTTTGCTTATGATACTCAGGCATTTTTCCAATATAGTAATACATCCTAAATTAAATATTTTTATTATTATGACTATAAACTTTATAATCTGAACCAAATAGCATGCTGTGATTGAATTTCTTATACTATTTTTTTTTGTTATTCCAGAAGGTCATAATGTCCTAATTTTAATACCTGTCTTGATCTTGCCATGTATTTTAATAACTTTGTAAAGGACCTCAAAGTACAGTTTCCCATATGGTAGTGTCAGATCATTTCTTACCCCTGGAGATACTTCTGGAGCCTTCTATCTTCCGACATTGAAAGGTTTTCTGCTGAGCATGTTGCTCAGCTATCACCTGGGTACTCCTTGCCCTTATCCAAAAATCTACTTTTTCACTTCTCTTTCCTAGATTCTTCATTTTAATGTTCCTTGGTTTTCTCTTTTGCTCTATATTTTTATTTTGAGGCTCAACCAATGTGTCTGTTGGACTGATAAACTAGCAAGATAAAGAATTCTTGGTTGAAATCATTCAGTTTCCCTGTAGAACTTAATTGTTTATAGGGTCCTGGGTTGGGGGCAGGGGGACCTATTTGCGTTTTTGGAGCTCCATTTGTCCAATAAGGAAGGGAATTTTCTTTTAGATGTAAATGTTTACTTGAATAACATTACAAAATAATATTCTCTTTAAGGTTGGCTATGAATATGTGATTTAAAAAGTATCTAAAGGGTCAATTCAATTAGGAATTGAATGCTCAAACTTTTCTTTTTCAGTCCCCCAATTGTGTAATCATTCATCAAGCTAAAATTCTACTGTTTTTGTACTGTAAGATTGAAGTGTAAAGTTGGAGAAGTTGCCCAGGTTGGTGTGGCTCAGTGGTTTGAGTGCTGGCCTGTGCACCCAAGGGTCACCCGTTCAATTCCCAGTCAGGGCACATGCCTGAGTTGTGGGCCATGTCTCCAGTAGGAGGCGTGTGAGAGGCAACCACACATTGCTGTTTCTCCCCCTCTCTTCTTTCTCTCTAAAAATAAATAAAATCTTAAAAAAAAAAAAGCTGTTGGAAAAATGGAAACTGATTAGTGGCTCCTGACTTTGAGCTACCTTCAAGCAGTGGTTCTTAATCTGGACCATTAAAAATATGATCAGGTATGAAGGACATGTGATTAAATTCTTATTAATGGCTTAAATGAATGGCTTTTCTTAAATTTGAGACAATTTTTGTACAGAAATGTCATTCTCAGTTGAATTCAGAGATGGCTTTTAAGGTGAGAGTGGAGCCATAGCATTAACTACACTGGGAATAACACAGGCTGTATTACTTACAAGCCAGGTTAGTGTTTGGATGGTCATTTCATGATTCTGTTACCAATTCTTAATAGCATGAACATTTTTTTAAGGAAGGCAAAGGTATTGGGGGGGGGGGGAAGAATATAGTTCCTGTGAGGAAAGAACATTGATCAATAATGGCAAGAGTTAGGATTAAATCAAATGTAGACAAAGTGATAAGGCAGGCGAAATAATACACAGATAATTTGGTATGCTAAAATGCTTAAAATTTAGGTAATATATAAATAATATTAAACATGCATATGCTTCATAATATACAATATAATAGAATTGTGTATTCACGCATACATACTATTTTCTTTTTGCTCCTTTTTCTTTATAAATCCTTTTTAAAAAACGAGGTTAACTTTGCATCTTAATTTTGTGAAGGAGGTAAGAACATTGTCATGTGTGCAGGAGTTGCATCATGTTAGGTGAAACAAGTTGTTGAGTTGTTTAATCTTACGAAAGTTATATTATGTATAGAAAGTTGCATCTGGGTGCTGAGCTGCCAAAGGGGTGGGTCGTGCTGGTTCTAAGCCCGCTTTTCTGTACTCTGTACGGCGATGCCGCAGCTGGAACGCTGTAAGCCACGATTCTCCGGTGACAGCTGCTGTCCCTTAGGTCCTACCAATGGGGCACCAGAGGCAGAACCTGGAAGGAGGCTGGAGGAAGGGAGGACACGCTTCTTCCTGTGAACTTCTGGAGACTCCTTGACAGCCAGTGAGTCACCTGTGAGTGTCGTTTCTTCACTCTAACAGTTACTTACCAATGGTCCCTAAATCCAGTCTGTAGCACTTGCAGCAACAGCTTTATTGCCTCCCCACTGCCACCAGAGAACCAGATAGCAGCCCTAGCTGGAGGGAGCCTGCTCTTTCTGAGACCTGTCTGGGCCCCTCTGAGCAGACATGTCAGCACTAAAGGATTCAAGCCTGCCTCCTCAGAGGCTTCAGCTCCACAGGGCTCCTTGCCCGGCTTCCATGTCTTAGAATTCTAACCTCTTCCCTTTTCCTCCCTTGTTTCCTGCACTCGCTACCTCCAGAATTCTTAAGTGTTCTTTTTACCTATTTAATTACCCATTAACAGCTTGGTACCTAATTAATACTTGTTTACATTGAATTCTCTCTGTTCACATAACTGGTGTTATGAGAACTGGACCCTGTTCTAATACAAGCATTCCAATCCTCCAGGCCTGAGTCACATGTCCTTTCTGGAGCCCGAGGGGAAGGATTAGCCCTACCTAAATTATGCAGACATATTGGAGAAAAGAATTTACCAAAGGGGCAAAAATGGGGTACTGTTCTAAACAGAGGTGAGGTGAGATCATGCCAAAAAAAAGAAAAACCCTCATGTAAGAATTAAGATAATTTTTAAAGATTATAAAACCCCATCTCACAGTTATCTTTCTTTTTGTTCCAAAACATTTTAAATAAAATCATTGTGAAAGTGAAAAGACAAAAATGAGCTGCCATTTCACACCACTGTGATGGTTATAATTAGACAAAAAAAAAAAAAAAGTGTTGTCAAGGATGTGGATAAATTAGAACCCACGTGCAGTGCTACTGAGAATATAAAATGGTACAGCTCCTTTGGAAAATAGGCTGGCAGTTTCTCAAATGCTTAAACATAGAGGTGCACTCTGGCTGGCATGGCTCAGTTGGCTGAGCATCAGCCTATGAGCAAAAAGGTCACCGGCTGGATTCCCGGTCCTGCGTTGGGGCGCTTGAGAGAGGCAACTGATTGATGTTTCTCTCACATCAATCTCACAAAGGAGAGATGTTTCTCTCCTTACTTCCTCCCTTCCTCTTTCTCTAAAAGTAAGTAAATAAATATTTTTTTAAAAAAACATAGAGTTGCCCCATATTACCCAAGAGAAATGAAAAGTTAGGTCCATACAAAATTTGTACACAGAAATTTACAGCAGCATTATTCATAATACCAAAAAGTGGAGATAACCCAAATGTCCATTAACTGATGAAAGGATATACAAAATGTGGTATAGCCATGCAATGGAATATTATTTGGCAATAAAAAGAAATGAACTATTGGCATGTCACTACAGCATGGATAAGCCTTGAACTCATTATGCTAAGTGAAATAAAATAGTCACAAATGATCACGTATGAGTCCATTTTACAAGAAATGTCCAAAATGGGCAAATCTATAGAGACAGAAGGTAGGTTAATGTATATCTATCTAAGACTGGGTAGGAGGAAAAGAGGTGTAGGGTTTCCAGAGTAATAAATTTCTAAAGTTTATTGTGGTGATGGATGTACGACAGTGTGAATTCATAAAACCATTTTAATTTGTACTCTTTAAATGGGTGAATTGTTATGTAAACTATATCTTCATAAAGCTTTTAAAAAGTATTAATATCTCAGTAGGTATATAATACATACTTATTCATGAATTATTCATGTAACCAAGGGGATTGAACAAAATATACTTCTGAATTTTAGAAGTATTTTAGAAGTAATTAGAAGTATTTAGAAGTTTTGGTAACTAAAGAAGCAAAGATATGCAATTGATTCCACTTCCTTTAAAGAAAAAAATTACTGACAAACTATTTGGGTGCTAATGTTTCACTCCTTGTTCTCCTATGAATTTACCCCCAAGAAGATCTTACCAGCTCACTGTCCACTCCCTGATGTGGTCAGAAAAAACGCCATCTTTTCCCTTTAGCTTCCAAAATGTTACAAATTGTCCAAACCTCCCCACAGGTAGTAAATGCTGAAAGGGTAAATCTTCCAAATGTTCACCACTTTGCACAACTATTTGTGATGATGTTTTGTTCAACTTGATCTGAAAATGAGAATCCCTAAGTAACGAAATATTTTCATCTCCAAAACTGGATTAGCACATGCACGTCTTTTATGTGGTAAGCAACGCGAGCAGGTGCTGTTTAGCTATGTGAACAAAAAAAGTTTATTCAGGCTGTTAGAGAGTCTTCCACGTTCAGAAGGAACAGAGACGCGAAGGAAACACTCACGGAATGGCGTGGGTTGTGGAAGACCGGTGTGCTAACCCCGCTGTCCCCACTTGCAGCCCCGCGGGATAGTGGCACGTCCAGAGGGCTGGCCGGGGAGGAAGCAGCCCTAATCGCAACAGCTTCTGGTTTTTTCTGTCTCATCATCATTTCCTGAATGAACACAATTAAACACTTAGAGCTGTCGCTAGGCTTTTCTTTGGGTAAAATTCAAAGATCTTGCTTTATTTTACCCTTGTTTTCCGGTAGTGTTTGATGTTATTTCTGGCACCTACATGCTTATTAAGTGTTGAATGAGTGAGGAAGTGAATTGAGTTGGGTGACATGAACTCTATTGTTATCACCTGTATTACAGGGTCCCCAGCCTTCCTAACTTATGACTGTCAGTATGACACTGTTTCTTTTATGTAGGACAAAATAGGGGCCATTCAACTTTGCTTGCCAATATAGCACACACATTGCTCAAAACTTTCTTGAACACCTAGGTATTTGAAAGTAACCAGCAGTTAGAAAAAAAAAAAAGAATCATACATTTTGGCGAAAAGGAATAAATATTTAGAAATATGTTGGTAGGCAAAATATCATGTATCCTTGTAACTGAACGCAGGTCCAGCTGCCTGCCGCGACGAAAGCCAATACTTGACAGGCAGGTGCTGATATAAAGCAAAGTGGCTTATTTGCAGATGCCAGCCACCTGGAAGATGGGGGACTCCTGTCTCAAAGCCCATCTCCACCTCTCAGAGGGGGCAGAGGTTTTTATAAGAAGCAAGGGGAAAGTGAGCAAAAAGAGATTAAGGGAAGGGGTTGTAAAGTTCTCTACACACAAACGAGCCCAGTCCATTCTGCTAAGGCAAGAATGGTTTGGTGCGCATCGTTGTGGTGTAGTCATCACGGCTTCACGTCATCCAGAATTCATGTCATCCTGGCTCCATGGTTAAAGTCAGTGAATCTCCCGGAGCTGAGATGCCTGACGATTGAAGTCTGTATCTTTTGAAGTTACTGTAGTTCCTCGG